TCAACTTCTGCAAATGTCTGATTTGTGGCTTTTTGTCCTAAAGCAAAAAGAAGATTGACTGACAATGTAATGGATTTTTATAATTTTGACTGTGAAGTCTGTTCCCAAGAAATTTCCTGTTGAAGGCTTAACACATACCTTCAGTGGCCTGAGTGTTTATGTTGTGCATGATTGGCACCAGGGTGACCTTCAGCAATGGCACTGTTTGTGTGCTGGTCTTACTGGATCTTTGGGTTCCACACCATGTCCTGCCATTCTCTTGTCTACTTCTAGGCTCCCCAGCCCTCCCAGGCTCTGGGAATAACTAAAGTAGAATGTCAAGGCAGACAGAGGGCGGTGGAGTGGCCCTGCCAGTGACCCACCCAGAACTCAGAAGAGAGTGGGTGGGACAAGATATGTCCCTGGGGTCATTTGGAGATTCAGTCAATCCAGGATCCTTTCTTCTCTAGAAGAACTTATGGCGTGGGGAGTGTCAAGGGAGGAGGTGAAGGGTCTGTCAAGAAACCAAGAGTGGAAAAAGGATACTTGTAGTAGGCAGAATAATCTACTCCAGAGGTCCATGTCCTCATCCCCAGAACCTAAGAATACATTAATTTACATGGCAAAGGGGAATTAAGGTTGCTAATCAATTTACCTTAAAATAGGGAGATTGTCTGGGTCATTCTGGTGGGTTCAATATAGTCACAAGGGCCCTTAAAAGTAGAAGAGACAGACAGATAAGGTCACGTGATAGAAGAAGGGACCATGAGTCAAAGAATGTGGGTGGTCCCTGGGAGACAGTAAAAGCAAGGAAATGAATTCTTCATAAAGCTTCCAGAAGGGAATACAGCCTTGTTGACAATTCGATCTCAGTCCCTGCAGATCCATGTTAGGTTTCTGATCTACAGAACTGAAAAATAATAGATCTGTGTTGTGGTGACTGAATTTGTAGTAATTTGCTACAGCACCGTGGAATGCTGACACCATGCTGATATAACAGAAAACTAATAAAATACTGCTTTACTAGGTTTTAGCAACTGAAAGAGGCCTGAGACTAAAGACTCAGAGAAGGGAGCCCTGGGGCTGGGGGGAGCCAAATCTGAGCTGGTGGATACTGGTTAGGAAGTTTAAGAAGCCTGAGTTTCAGGGTCCGGGGTCTTAGGGAAAGGGGCAATGTCCTGCCAAGAGAGATTGCATTAAAAATAATGAAATAGGAATTTGACCTAAGCATCAGGGAAGCAGTTTTTGGGATTTGGAGTATCTGGTAATAGAGCAGAGGAGAGGTCTGAGTAGGGAGAGCGTACTTGGAAACAGGGGTCATGTCAGGCTGGGGAAGGGGGGGGGTGAGAGGTGGGGGGGTGGAATTCTGGATTTTGGTCATTTTTCTCTCTGAGTTGTTTGAAATGGGTGAATCTTGAAAATTCCTGGGCCTCAATTTTTCTGTAGGTAAAACGAGGGGCTCAGAGTATTGGAATTAATTGCTTTTTAGATTGAAACAAAAGCTGCATGATTTGGTGAAGGACCAGTGAGTTCTAAAGGAGTCATGTGGCTGTGGTCACAGTATTTCAGCTTACTGTGCCACAAAGCCAAAATCTCAGGCATGGCTCAATCTAATGGACCATGGCTTCTCCCTCAGCAGAGTAACTTCCACTCCACTTTTGAGTATTCATTGTGTTGCTTAAATGTAGAAATAATGACCATGGCAGATGCAAGCTCCCAGCGAAAGAAATATTTTATATTTACCGAGTTGTGTTTATCTGATGCTTTTTGTGGGGCAAACTGCCATCTCTGATTCCTTTGAGTAGGCAGGTAGTAACTCTTTTGTAGTGGGCCAGAAAGAGAAGCAGAGGGCTGTGGATCCCAAAATCTCTCAAATCTAAAGCATTAAATATTCCAGAATCCCGAAATACTGAATTCAGTAAAAATGTCTTTGCATTCTGTTTGATTTTGTACACTTTTCAGTTTCTCACAAACCTTTTACTGACAGAGCATCGTAGCATCTGCCAGTGATAGGGCAACCAGAGGGTTTGGCAGCTTGTGGGTGGGAGTTTCAGGGTTTGGGGACTTGGCTGCAGATAGATTGGGCTGTTGGAGTGGGTGGATGAAACTGTGTATTGATGATGGTCTTTGCTTTTCCTAAATCACAATTGCATCATCTGAGATAGCTGAGTTTATGTTGAGCTTTTACAAAAGCCTCCTGGGAAAAGGGCAAAACTGGTTTGAGTGCGTAAGAATTTATTTATGGCAATCATGGTATCAAACTGAGACTGGAGACTGTGGAGAATCTGGACCGTTTTCTGTTGGAGGAGAAAAAAAAATTCCATTTTACTTTGGTAAGTAAGAAACATACAGTAGAATCACTTTGTAGTTAGAGTGATTTTTGAAAGTCTTATTGTCCTTTTCATAGGGCGACAGATAGGATGTTCTTAAAATATACTGATTCAAATAAGGATAGATTCTGGAAAGAAATATCAGTGAGAAAAAAAAAGAATAAAAATGAGCAGAAAGAAAACGGCCGGCTCCACAGGAGGTGGTTTGAGGTTGTCAAACATGGTTGGCCAGGTTTCTCATGACTCATCTGTACGGCAGAGCAGTATGGCTGGCTCTCCTGGAAACACAGGGTCACAGATTTCTGTAGTTTCAAGATGAGTCACAAGGATGGGGCTTTTGGTCCTAACTCACGTTCACCTGCCATGCATAAATGTGACTGATTTCTTTGATTTTATTCCATTCTTGAACTTGTGGTACCTTGATTTCTAGTGATTATATTAAGTGATGGAAAGGAAATTCTATTAAGTGCTTCCCCTACCTCCCCGCCCCCCCCAAAAAAAACACTCTAGAAAACTAGATACCACCCCAATCATCCTTCTACATTGTTCCCTAAAATGGGTTACTTTGGGGAAGGTTCTGGAAAGAGTTCTTCCCATAATGTGTGTTACAATGTAACTCATCTTTGGTCAATTCAGTTGGGATACATTAAGGACTTAATTTTTACCCTGTAATTTCTTTCCTCTATATAGAATCTTCTTTTCCCTTCTTTAATGGCCTCTTAAGTAGGTACCAAAACATTCTGACAATTTAATGTTTTACTTTTAATTAAAGTGAGATTGACACATGATAAGCTGCACACATTTAAAGGACACATCGTGATGAACTTTGACATAGGTAACACCTGTGAAGTCATCATGGCATTCCAAATAATGAATATTTCCATCAGGCCCCAGAGTTTCCTGGTGCCCTCTTGCAGCACAATCTCTCCCTTCATCCCTTTCCGCAGAAGACTGATATACTTCCTGTCACTAGGGACTGGTTTGTACTTTCTAGAATTTCATAGAAATTTAATCATATGGCAATTATAATTGGTAAATCGACACTGGCACAGCATTGCCTAAAATCCACAGGTTACGTTAAAGTTCAGTCTTGGTATTGTACACTCTATGGGTGTGGACAAGTCTAAAATGAGACTTATCTACCAATAAGTTTTTTCCCCGCCCTAAAAATCCTCTGTGCTCCATCTATCCATTTCTCCCTACTGCTTAGCCCCTAGCAATCACTGAGGACCTAATCATTTTGATGAGTAAAACTCAATCTAGCCTCAAATCTAATTTAAAACTTCAGTTCCTTGAACCCATAGCTCAAGGGACCCAACTAGTGAATTGGAGGGAGATGGAGTGAAAGACCAAGAGGAAGATGGAAAGAGGGAAGGGGAGGAGGAGAAGAGGGAGGGGAAAGGGAAAGGAAGAAAGGCAGTGGGGAGAGGAAAGTGAGAAATGGAGGAGGGTTAGGGAGAGTGGGGGAGGGGAGAAAGTCAGGGAGTCTGTTTCTAAGCTATTTCTCCTGCTCTTCTCTCTGAACATACAGACCATGCAGGATTGGGGTGGACAGAGGAGGCAACAAAAGCCTCGTACTCTTGCCCACCTGCCAGGTGTAGGAAGGTGCCTTGGTCTCACTCTGGTCAGCGTGGGTCTGTTTGTTTCTGGTGGCCTCTGATGATAGAAAGCTCTCATCTCTGTCAACGAGGACTTCCTAAGAGAGGAGCAGCTGTGCCATGGCCCATGCCTCCAGGCCCCTTTCTGGAGTCACTTTATTTGTTCTGGTTGTCTGGGTGTCACCCTTTGTCCCCTACCCTCCTCTGCTATGGTCACTACAGAGATTTTCTTCCCCACTTTCTGGGGTAGAGATATTATGTTTGAGTGCATGGGTAGAGGTAACTTTTCTTCCCAAGGGGACTACCCTATACTTCTTCCTGGCTGTGCTGCTACAAGGCACCTCCAGGAAGCTTCTCATCTTCAGAGATCCGCAGTGAAAAGTGGGCCCACATCTCTGTGTCCAAGGCCTTCCTAGAACGCTCTCACCAGGCTGCATTCTGCCCTGACACTGGGCAGTGAGGTGCCTGGTCTCCCCCTCATAGTCAGTCTCAACTCTACAGGGAATTCTCTGGGAGCAGCACATCCCCCTCCCCCCCCAACAAGCTTGGATTGGTGGATAGAAGAAAGAAAATGTCCTCACTGTGCTGTCCACAAGGATGGGGGCTGTGGTCACTCCCCTCCAACCCCAGGCTTCTTACAGGGACTGGAGAGAGAGTATGGGTGGGGCTGATTGCTGTCAGTGGTAGAGTTGGCTTTGCTTCTAGTAAACCCTGAGGAAAGGTGTCTGTCCCTTTAGATATGGGGGCTTAGTGCCTGTGGATTTCATCTGTAGACTCTGGTGCTCATCCTGGGGCCACAGGGAAAGTCCCACTCAAAATCCTGGCCTACTGATACATGGTTTTACATTTGACTATGTTCTATTGGTGCGTGGCCCTTAGGTGTACTGGGATGGTATAGCTTTTTATTTGTTTTTGTTTTAACCTGTCAATTCCTATTCCTAGAAAGGCCATAGAAAGTAATGGTTTATAAAGAATAATAAATGGCTCTGTTTACTTTAGTACTGAGCTGTTTCCCAGGAAATATTTGATTTCCCTAGCTGGATGCCGTAATTGCAGTAGGACTTTATATTTACATTGTTTATTTTAACAGGAGTTTATTCTGTGCGTCAAACCAAGGCCTTCAGATGTATTCCGTAATCAAAGCCCCTGGCGCTCAGGGAGGCAGTAGGGAACAGATTGGAGTCAAATCGGCTTGGCCTGGAATTGTCAACTATGTGTGACTGGGAGGTCACTGCACTACTTCCTCACAGGCAAAAGACAAACAATAGAACCTGCTCAGCCGGAGGGTTAGGAGGACTCCATGGAATAATGTGTGTACAGCACTGAACAGGATGCGTGGATCCTGGAAGGTACGCAGTAAGTTTGGCTCCTTTCATTTCTGTGTGGTACAGACAATGCCATATGCAACTTGAATAGAAGCATGTCAGACAGGACAAGGGAGGCAAGACTGGGCACTGCACCAGATAGAAGGAGCATCGATCACCAAAGCAGAAAGCAGTCAAGTTCAGAATAGATAGCAGAGATTAGCTTCCATCTAAAAGATTAAGAGGGACAAAATGAGAATTATGGTCAAAGAGTGTACATAACTAGAAATTAGGTATAGCACAGCGTGGTGAAGCATGATAGTTTTGGATTTAAAAGTTAAGGTCCAGAACCATTTTGGAGGGTGGATAACCTGGGACTGCAAATTGGAGCAAACCAGGACCTCTGGCATCAGTGGTACTTGAAGTACCAGAGATGATAATTAAGTCCCTTCTTTTGCTGGAGGGAATATATTTTTTCCCCTTATAATTAGCAGGTCTCATTTCCTCCGTTTCTGTTCCACTCACTCTGGTAGGGATGAAGCAAGATTAAATATCCCTTTAAAAAACATTGCTTGACTGTTGTGAATTGTGCTGCTAAAAACATTGATGTGGCTGTGTCACTGTAGTGTGCTGACTGAAAATGTCATGCCAAGTGAAATAAACCAGTCCCTAAAAGTCAAAGGTTGAATGTTTTCTCTGATATGTGGAAATTAATCCAGAGTAAGGGGGGGGGTGGTGGGAGAAAGAAAGAGAGAAAAAGTAAAAAAATAAATAAATAAGGAGAGGGAATTTAATCAAAATAGAGGAAAGATGAGTAGAGTAGACAAAGGGGATTGAGGGGCAGAAAGGAGGGATGGGAAATGGAAAGAGCAATGGAATGAACTTTCGTGTGTGCATACATGAATATAGCACAGTGCATCCCAACATCAAGTATATCCACAAGACACCAATAGAAAAAACAACTATAAATAATTGCAGAAGATGAGTAGAGGGAGGGGACGGCTGGGGGGAGAGGGAAGTGCTGGAGACCAAATTAGAGCAAATTATATTCCATGTTTTTGTGATTATGTCAAATTGTATCCTAATGTTATATATAACTAAAAAGAATAAAAAAGTAATCAAAATGTTGCTAACTGATAGGCAAAAATAATCTTATTCACATTTTAATTTTTTGATCATTGAGATTTAACATTTTCTATTTATTTGCGCTTTTACTTTTTTGAAGTATCTGCTCATGCCATTTATAATTTGTTTATTAGAATCTTAAGATTTCTCTTATTAACCTGTGCATGCTCTGGATATATTGACTCTTTGTCAGTTATATTTCCTGTGTTTTTTTCCATTTGTATTTGCCTTTTCAGTTTTATTTTTCACTTTTAGGGCATATGGAATCTTAATAGCTTTACATAGTTAGCTATATAAATTTTTTACTTTAAAATCTCTTCTTGACTTTCAAGATGACTTCCATGACTTTTTCTCTGTGTACATTTATAAATATGTGTGTGTATACACACACACACACACATGTGTGTGTGTATATATAGGCATCTTAAAGTTTGATTTTTACATGTTATTCATCTGAAAGTTATTTGATGCAGATACAAATTTATCACAGCATGTTTATCATGCATTACTTCTCTTCTGCACTAATTTGTGATCTATCTTTATTACATATTAAAGTCATATAAAATAAGCTCTGTTTATGTATAATCTCTGTAATTGATTTCAAGAATATTAAAGGGATCTTTTTTGCATTAGTGTTTTTGAGTATGGAAATATGAATAGTAAGCTTCTGGGTTGTATATTTACCTATAGCATCTCTCTGGGTTATCATGATTATCCCATGTTAGTATAAACTCAATGTTTTCAAAATATGATTATCAAGTGGTAAGATAGCCCATTCAAAATTATCTACAAATGTTAGTCTTTCCACATGTGGTCAAAGCTCAGCCACAGGAGTTGTGAAGAAATGGTATGTATCAATGTTCAGTTTCATTAGCAGGGAGAGGTGAATTAAAAGAAACTCCACTTCTATACTATTTGTAGAACCATTAACTATTATTATGCCATTTTTATTCTTATGAATAATGCCTTTGTGCACTACTCTTCCAACAGGCTGGTGGCTGTTAATTTAGCAAATTCAATTTTCTGAGTGAGAAAAGTTGCCCTTGTGTCAAGTTCATGAATATAATGCCTGTTGGTGATATAATTCTTCCATTATCAGCTTCATCTATCACACTTCTGGCAAGTGGCCAGAACTGTGAGATTAAACATGTCAAAGACTTATAGTGGTTCCTCTTGCTTAATTTCGCTTGTGGATCTATTTACTTATTTATATTTTACTCTAATAATGATATGTCTATCCACGCTACATCTTTACTGAGGTGGTATATACTTTTTATATTAAGCCATTTCAGATCTGTTTTAGAATACTTCAATTGGTATTATTCTCTATTATTTATCCAGTGAGCTTGTCCATTGGAACATGCTGGTCTCTGGGCAAAGGATCTCCTTGCTCATTTGGTGAGTTTACTCAATCTGAGTTTTGTAACTGCTAGATTGTGCCTGGAGGTTCAGGCCCACTGAGGTATGCTCTATGACCACTGTGGCTGTCTTAGCATTTAACCATTTTATGAGTTTCTCCCTCCCTTTGGATTTTTGGTCTCTTATGTAAGGGACCCAAACAAACATAATCACTCTATTGCTACTAAGTAGAGCATCAACATTTATTTATTTATTTGTTTGTTTCTTAAATTTCTTGTTCAAAGTGACAGTGAGAGCTGGGGGTGTGGCTCAAGCGGTAGCACGCTCGCCTGGCATGCGTGCAGCCCGGGTTCGATCCTCAGCACCACATACAAACAAAGATGCTATGTCAGCGGAAAACTTAAATAAATATTAAAATTAAAAAAAAACAAAAACAAAGTGACAGTGAGTTTTCCATTAGCCCCTTAATTTCTGGTGTGCCATGCACTGGTTTTTCTAGACTCCATCAATTCACCAACCCATTGTATTTCCTCTTTTATTCCATAGAACCAAAAATACCAGCCGCATGGGTTAAGACACTTGGCTGAGACTTGATGTATAGATTCTATGGATGAAGGATAATTATTAGAATCAATCCTAAAGATTTGGTGAGTTTACAGAAACAGCCACAGAAAGTTTCTGTGAAAAACAGGCAGATTTTTTTTGACATCTAGGAATCAGACTGAGCTGGTAGTGGAAGAGAGAGCTATTTGAACATTCAGGAACTTAGGGGAAAATAGGCAGCTATTTCTGGAGCTTTGGTATTTTCTAGGATTTGTGGAGCAGAGTGTTTTCATCTATGTTATCTAATGTATCTGAGGTTTCTTTAGCAGGTTCAAGACAGGATGGAGGAAGTAGATGGAACCTGTTTCAAAGCCTGGTCACATCAGGACCACAGGCAGAGTAGTAGTGTTTAAGCAGCCCAGGAGGAATGGTTCCCAGCCCTTGGAGATGTAATGGTGATTGGGCTCCCAGGTTGTGGTAAAGAGATGACCAGGGAGAGGTTGAGCACATAATAAGCCTGACGACAGCTGAGATGTCCATTTATTATATAACATATAACCCCAAATATAAATTAAATTCAAATCTTGCAATTATGTTTGATTCTGCTAAGAGAGAATGGAGTTACTTTTGTTTTTCTTGTTTTGTTATATTGTTTTGGTTTTTGCTCCTTGGGTCAGAGATCAGAGCTTACTTTGCACTTTGCTCTACCAGAAGAGTGACCAATTGAAGCTGAAAGGATCTGGTCTTAATGTGTCAGATCACAAACAGTAGTGCTGGGAACCCAGGACTACAGACAGGAGATAAGGATTTGAAGTAGTAAGGGATTCCAGTGTATAGATCAGACAGGGACACCCATTGAGCAAGGTTAAGGCTAATAAGTATAGCTAGGGTACGAGCAAGAAAAAGCTAGGATTTGGGGAAACAGAGGTTTTGTTCAAGATTTTAATTTTTAGAAGAAAAGAATAGCATTTATTATATAACATATAACCCCAAAGATAATTTAAAAGAAAAATTTGTCTTTGGAAGTATTAATAATACTGATCAAAGGTTAAAAAAATCATCAGTGCTTATTTGTGAATAGTACATAAATGTATCTTAAATATATATCTTGCTGGGTGCAGTGCCTGTAATCCCAGCAATTTGAGAGGCTGAGGCAGGAGGATCCCAAGTTCAAAACCAGCTTCAGCAACTTAGCGAGGTCCTAAGCAACTTAGCAAGACCTTGTCTCAAAATAAAAAACAAAAAAGGCTGGGGATGTGGATCAGGCTCAGTGGCTCAGTGGCTAAGCACCCCTGGGTTCAATCTCAAAAAAAAAAAAAGTATATACCTTCAGGCAGATGTATTATGATAGACACCATCTTAAGATCTCTCTCTCTCTCTGTCTTTTTGTCTCTCTCTCTCTCTCTTTCTCTCCACACACACACACACACATTCATAACTGTGTATAACAGAAACATAAATATAGAAATATGGAGGTGGGGGGAGGGAGAGAGAGAATGGACTCCTGCTACTCTGAAAATTAAGAGTTTAATATATATATATATATATATATATATATATATATATATATTACAAAATTAGCTCCATTCCCTTCCTGATTGTGTGCTTTTATTTTTGGATTGCTATTTGCAATAAATGACTCAGAAACGGAAGTGAAAAATCATTTTACAGTTTGACTAGAGATTTTTTTTTCTGTTAGGCTTGTTGCAATTCTTACATAATATGAGTACAAATCTCTGAATGTTTATTAGATATCTGGGCTAGATTTCTGTAGAAAACAATACCAGCCCCCTAACTTCCATGCCTCTCTAATTATATGTAAACTTGTTTAAGATCATCAAGTACAATGATTCATCACTCCAAGGTGCTCTGCTACAGGCTACATTGTTACAAGACTATTGTTCCCTACTGAATATATTTATTTTGAGCCTTGGTTACTTTTTTTTATTTTTAAAATAAGCTCCAGATCTCTATCTGTACTTATTATGTAAGAAATAATAAACACTTGAATGCATTTATCTACATTTAAAAAGTTACTTATTATGATAGAAACAGAAGGCTATGGCATTCATAGAAAAGTCTGTTCAGATTTATTGATATCATTATCAGCAGTATCATATTCTTCGTCATCATCATTATCTGTTACTATTGGTTACTATTGGTTGCTAATCACTTAGTTCAGGGATTATTATAAATTCCAATGGCATTTACAAATAGTATGTATTAAACAATAGAATCCATGCCCTTAGAAAAAGAAAGAAAAATGAATAGTGGTCAAAATGATAAGCAGTTCTTTAATTTCAAATGGGTTGTTTGACAAATTTTGTTTCCAAAGAAGTTTGTTTGATTTGGAATCCCTTTTACTGACTAACAAAAGGTGAACAAATGTTATTTGTAGGTATATATGTGCCCAGTTTTCTCCCCCAAACCCACTCAGGAAGTGAAGCTCTGTGTGTTTAATCCTATGAGAGACTGTCAGAGTGGGGGTGTTTTAGTAAAAACTTATCAAGACCCAACAGAGTCTTATAATGGAGTTTGCTTTCTCTTCTATAGTCCTACCCACATCCTGAAGGAAGACATGAAGATATATTTGTGCTTGCCATAGTGAGTTGAATTGTGTCCTCCCTGACCAAAAAAAAAAAAAAAAGATATATTGAAATTTGAATCCTAGGTATTTGTGAATGTGACCTTATTTGAAAATAGGATCTTTGCAGATGCAAAGATGATGGTCTTATTAGATAAGGGTGGGCTCTGGTTTCCTCATAAGAAGAGGTAAACTTGGACATGGGGCAAGGAGGATTTCTGTGTGATGGTGGAGGCAGACTGTGAGGTGATGGGTCTTGTAAGCCAAGGAATGCCAGAGACTGGGAAAGGACAAGGAAGGGAAAGGACAATCTTGTTGTTGTCTCCTGGCATCTTCACAAAGAGCAAGGTGCTGTTGACACCTTGATTTTGAACTTCTAGCCTCAAGAACTGTGAGGCAATACATTTCCATTATTTTAAACCACCTAGGCTTATGATAATTTGTTATGGCAGCCCTAGGAAACTAATATATCTTTACATAATCAAAATTCGGCCATTAGAAATTTCTCATCTGTCTATTGTTCCATGATGAACTGTGGGAATGAACTTATTAAAACAAAACTTAGCATGCCTAAGTTTGTTACATGGTTTAGTTTGTTATGTTAAAACATGGTAGTGGTAATATTTAAACAACTATACTATTAATACTTCAAAATGTAAATTTTTTAGTTCAGTAAGAATTTTTAAGATATGTGATGATACAAAGTGAGCCCTACAATTTGTAGAATGATTGTGACAAGATACGAATATATAAAAAAAATACTAAAAATGGTGTAAGATGCTGTAATAGAAATCATGCCAATTCTTGCATCAGTTAGAGAACACATATTAAGTCAATCAGATAGTTAGATCTTTTTTTAAAAGTTTTTTTTAGTTGTAGTTGGACACAATACCTTTACTTAATTTGTTTATTTTTATGTGGTGCTGAGGATTGAACCCAGGGCCTCACATGTGCTAGGAGAGCACTCTACCATTGAACCACAACCCCAGCCCTAGATATTTAGATCTTTTAAAAAGAAAAATCTTTTGTGTACTGGTGGAAATAAAATCTTATCTTAAGATTTCCAGAGAAGCAGGAGTCTATCACCTTGAGGGTTTACCTTCCTTCCATAATGCTCCAAGAGTCCAGGGACCTTAATGAGTTCAAAGAATGTAATCATCTTTCCAAATATTTCACAGACGAAGAAGAGAAATGATTGGATTTTTGTTATTGTTGCGGCTGGGGATTGAACTCAGGACCTTGAGTATGCTAAGCACACACTCTACCACTGAGCTACACCCCCAGCCCCAGGATTGGAAAATTTGATCAGCCTTCAGCTGGGTCTCACTTTTCAACTTTCATGGTTTCGGCTGTCCACAAGTTACAGGGAACACTGGATCCTCAGGGTCTGATGCATCCTCTTTTACTCTTGTGATGATGTACTTTCTTGTCAACAGACCATGCAGCAGACATGCACTTCATACCTTGACTACAGCCCCTTCATTCACATTCACATCAGTTAGGAGGACAGGCCCTACAGTCCTACAGTCCTGATCTGCCATTAACTAGGTGTGCAACCTTGGAAAAGTTACTCCAGCTCACAGTCCTCTGTTTTTAGTACTGTAAAATGTGTATACTGTTGTATCTCATAGACTAGTTGTAAGTATTCAAAAAGAACGTGTGTGTGAAATACTTGGGAAAATGCCTGGCACACAGCAATATTTATTATAGTGAAACAATGATTCAGTAGCAGAGGGTTGTATCTATATGCCTTCGAAGAGATTTAATAATGTGGGAGAAAAGTCTGTGATATAATTTTAAGGGCAGAGAGACAAATCTAATTTTATACGTAGTGTGATTTTTTTAATGTGGCAAAGAAAGTGCTCACCAAACATTCTGTTTTAGCTCCTTGACATTTTCTAACTCCCTCGCCATGCCTGGAATTATGTCACTAGTTCTAGACCAAGGGCTGTGATGAAAAAGTATGTGTCTCTTCTGGACAGAGGGACAGAAGAGCTGGTGTGAGGCCCTTAAGCTGTGCTTTGTCTCTTAAAGAGACCACATGTTCCAGATGCAGCAGGAAGTGGTGGGGTTTCCATCAGCCTGGGTCTTGATGGACTAAGCCCTTGCTAACTGTGACGGACAGGTAAGTGTGAGTGAGAAATACACCTTGCTGAGTTAGAACCCTGGGAGGTGGGGGTTAATTTATTACTACAGAAAAGACATGGCCTATCCTAATATCCTTATTTTTATAAAATTCTGCCTAAAAGCTCTGAAGACAATTTCATCAAAATTTCAGTAGTGGTTTTGGATGAAGAGTGTGATTGTAGGTATTTTAAATTTTCTTTTATATTTTTCCTCTATTAAAATTTTAAAAGGTGGAAATTATGGGTTCAATTCATTCTAGGAAAATTTTGATCAAAACTGATTAAATCATAGGCATTGACTTTGAAATAATAAGCATTAGCTATTTAGAGACAAATTATTGATGAGAATTATTTTACTCTCTAGCACTGATACTCAAGGATTTTTTTTTTTTGAATTTTTTAATATTTATTTTTCAGTTTTCAGCGGACATAACATCTTTGTTTGTATGTGGTGCTGAGGATCGAACCCAGGCCGCACGCATGCCAGGCGAGCGCGCTACCGCTTGAGCCACATCCCCAGCCCAATACTTAAGGATTTACTGTAGATTAGTGGTTGGCAAACTACATGGGCCGTATCTGGTCTGTCGCCTTTTTTTGTAAATACATTTTATCGGAACACAGCCACGCTGATTTATTCAAGTATTATCTACGGTGTTTAATGCTATCATGGCAGGGTTGAATAATTGAAATAAAGCCCACTGGGCCACAGAACCTGAAATATTTAGTATTTGACTCCTTTCAGAATTTTTCCAACCCCTGGTATAGATTGTTAACCCTGAATAGGGCCAGGACTCAGATGAGAAAAGTGAGGCAATTGCTGAGTATAGCATGTTTTTTCAGAGAACAAACCAAGATTTAATTAATCAAGTAATTTACTATTTCCAGGAATCAGCTCCTGTGGTTATAGAAGTTGAGAAGTTCCAAGATCTGTAGCCACAAACTGGAGACCCAGGTGAGCCAATAGTTTCATTCTAGTCTGAATTTGAAGATCTGAGGAGCAGAATTGATGGTGTAAATTTCAGTATGAGTTCAAGTTTGAATGAAGGTGGGAGAAAACCAACCTCCCAGCTTGAGATAGTCAGGCCAAGGGAATCCCCCGCTTAGCTAGCCTTTGGTTCTGTTCAGTCCTTCAAGGGATTGGATGAAGCTTACCCACATTGAAGAGGGCAATATGCTTTACTCAGTCTCCTGACTCAAATGCCCATCTATTCTAGAAACATATCTCAGGTATACCCAGAAGAAAAGATTAATCTGGGCATCCTGTGGCTAGGTCAAGTTGACACATAAAATTGACTTTGAGTATGAAATTTAAAGAGGCACCGAAAAAATTCAGCAATCAAGGTTAAATAACATTTTAATACAATATTCAACAAGTATTAATGCAAAAAATCCATGATGAACAAAATGTTGAAATTTTAAATAAAGATAGAATCAGTCATGGTACCTTGCCAAGCCATATTGGAGCCTAAGGCAATACTTATCTTGTCTTTATTTAGAATTTTGATAATTTGTTCATCACGTAGGGCACAGAAGTGCCCTAAATTCCCTCGCACAATGCTTAACATACAGTGGGCTTGTTACAGTTTTTCATCAATTTTGAATTTGTTAGCCCATGATACTGTGAAGGAGAAATTACAAAAACTACCTGGTAGAAGGCAGAACTTTATGTGTAATTCTATTCATCAGTTTGTCTATTCACCGACAAATATTGGCGGTGAGCTTTGCCTTAGTCCTGGACGTGTGGGTGCTATCCTAATTTATATGACTGCTTTATGCTGGTATTTTGGGATTTATTATGCTTTAAGCATAATTTTGAACACAATTTTTTTTCGATATTTATATAGTCTGTAAAGACTTACTTGAATAATCTAAATACTTGCCATATTACTTTTTGGCCAATTATTTCTGGCATCCACTCCCATTTCTTAGTTGATGAATTCATCAGATAGCCTAATCTCATCCTCTCCTTTCAGGGTCCTCTTGTAATATCTCCATCCTCATTGGAAAATGGAATGTTCATTCCCAAAGTCAGGCTTGTTGGGATTCTAAGCCACATTTTTCAGAGTTCGAGGATCTGTGAAGACATGATCTTGAACTTTCATTATATGACATTTGAATGTAGTTGCCCCCCACCCAAAATAAACATTATACTGTTTTCTCATTGGCACAGACTCATGTTGATCAGTTCAGAGTTCTTGGATGAGAATAGGGAACATTCACCTTTGCCTTTCAAAGACCTGCTCTTTGAGGGGAAGAGAGAGAGAGAGAGAGAGAGAGAGAGAGAGAGAGAGAGAGAGAGAGAGAGAGAGAGAGAGAAAGAGAGAGAGAGAGAGAGAGAGAGAGAGAGAGATTGATTTTTGATAAAGTTTGGGCAATAAAGCACCATGTGAACGGATGTAAAGTTGCATAAAGGTCATTAGATAAAACGTTTTAAAGGGATTATAAATAAGTAAATGTAGAATCAGCATAATTATACATTTAGTTTACAATTGAAAATCAAAACAGTAGCTACTCAAGTGCAAGGAAAAAATTGTGCAGTTCTGGTAAACTGACAAATATATAGTCTGAATTACATTTAAAATGTTAGCTGGCTTAGTGTGAGATGTCTTCATTACCAGGCTTCTATCCCCCAAGGGCTCTTCTCCAGTAGGGAAGTAGAGGAAGAACAAGAAACCTTCCTCATCTCAGTTCTTTGACATGGATGAGGGGTGGTGGGAGCAAGGGAGAGGGAGAGAAAGAGAACACAGAAATGAGGTTTGAGGAAAGGGGGAAGTGGAAAGTAAGTGGAGAAGAGGAAAGGAGAAATGTGCAGTGGAGAGAGGGAAGAGAGCAGAAGAACAAGAGACCCGAGTTGGCTCCAAGAGTTCCTTTTTTGTGTGCTGCCTGAGATAACATGATGGAGGGAGATGTACGTACCCGTCACCATCGTTGGTGATGGAAACACACTTGGTTCATTATTACCACACGAGAGCCCTGCAGACTGGTTGGATTAAGGGGGGGATGATGTGGGGGTGTTGCCACAGGATGATTTCTGCTGAAGGCACCGTAGTCTGAAGTTTGACAACATTCCTGCCCTGGTCCTTTCCTGTTCCCACAGTGAAGTGAGCTAAAAAGAACTGAACATCTACTCAGGACAAATGGTGACATTTCTGAGGAAGTTGCCTGAGAATTATGGCCTCCCATACCTCATTTTTCCACCGTGTTTGTCTCCCTTTTGGTTTTTCTAATTTTCTGACATATTTTGCCGAGGACCACCTATGGCATGTTGTCTAGAATGTGGGGAAATAAAATGCTCTCAAATGTAACCAGGGGAATTGGAATCTTAACATTTCTCTATTTTTATCATATTTTTGGAGAGAGAACCTGAAGGTTTTTTGCATAGGCATTTTTCTAACATCCCATAGCTGAGTCATGTGGAGGGGATATTTCTGCTATTATCAGTAATTGTCTTTGCTCTGGAGAAAATAAAAGGATAGAGTATGTCTTAGTATCTTCCACAGTATCTAGTCATGTGCTTTGTTTACAGAAGATTCTCAGTAAAATCTCACAAGATTATTAATTTAGTTTCTTTGTAGACAATGATATACACATGGTAGGAATTTTTCTATCCAATTATGAGAATTGTGGGCTCTAGGCCAAATTGTGTATCTGCTATATTTTACTACTATTGTGTATCTGAATTATACTGCTTTTTTTTTTAATTTGGTTTGTATCTTTGTCAAACCAAAATAGATGCATGGCTGGCAGAGTTCAAACAGAACAGGACTTATAAAGAATACAGCATGTCCTGGGCCATCTTTTCCCATACCCGATTCTTGGTCACTCCTCCACTTTCTCAGCTGTTTAACTTCTCCATTTTAAAACAAAGCCTTAAACTTTAAAATAGTTTCATTTTGTGTATCAATGACTTCCTGCCATGGATGATGGAGCTTTAGCTTTCTTCACCACCCATTCCTTTCTCTTTCTTCTCTCCCTCCCTATTCTATAGGGAATGTCACTCTGTGGGTTAAGTTGACATTGAGAAATTCTTTAAACAATTCTTTTGAATGGTTGCATTCTTTGCTTTATCAAGTATATCTTTGGAAATTTATTTTAAGATAATAATCAGAGGTATGCACCAAAGATTTACAAACATGGATATTCATTACAATCCACCAGTAATTATGAAAGTGTAGACAAAAATCTGAAGTCTAGCGTTAAGAGGTTTTTTTGTTGTTATTGTTAAAAAATCTAGTGGGGCACGATGGCATGTGTCTGTCATTCCTGTTGCTTTGAGCAACTGAGGCAGTAGGATGGCTTGGGCCCGGGAATTCAAGGTCAACGTGAAACCCTGCTAAATATTATTTGTTCATATGATACATCATTAAAAAGAATGTTTGTGAAGACTGTTGGTACTATAGCTCATGATATAGAAAACAAAAAGAAGGTTATAAAACCACCAATCTGCCCAAATTTCCTTTGAAAAGAGTAAAAAATGTATTTACCAAATGGGAATGGAAGGTTTATACAAAAATGTTGAAAGTTGCTTTCTTTAAGATGATCATATTGAGAAGTAATTTTGGTTTTCTGTTTGGGTTTTTCTATATTTTCCAGAATTAATCATATTGCTAGATTGCTCTCTACAAGGGCCTACTATTTACACGAACACCAGCCAGAGATTGTAATGTATCATTAACACTATGTGGTATGGTGCTGTTATTTTTAAAATTCTTCTTAAGAGTGCTCCTTGCGGGATGGGGTTGTGGCTCAGTGGTAGAGTGCTTGCCTCAGATGTATGAGGCACTGGGTTCGATACTTGGAACCATATAAAAATAAAATAAAATAAAGGTATTTAAAAAATTTTAAAAAAGAGTGCTCTTCTTCTTTTTATTTGTACATCTTTGTGGAATTTTGACATGAACTAAATGAATTTACTTTTGGCATATTTTATAGGAAGACACAAAACTGTCATGATAATGTACATGTTAATTTAACTGACAAAAATGGCACTTTTTTCTAACTTTCTTCCTTTGATTGTGCTGAAGAAATTTTTTTCATAGCTTCCTTTTCTTGTGTGTTGACCATTTTGTGAACTATTTTGTATTCACTCATGTCCTTCTATAGCAGATTTTAAGGTAGTCAGATGGTTGCAGAGATTATTCCAAATCTGAGAGGACTAGAATAATAAAATTGTGAAATGGACTTGTGAGACTTCGATTCTACTTTGACAGGGTTGTGGTGTGTATATAGTGTAGGCAGAAAAAGGTTAGGTCTTAGGAATTCAAACTTTTTAAAATTTTTTATTATTCCAATTGTATGAATTTGTGGGGTACAGTGTGATAATTTGATACAGGCATATAGTGTGTAATGATCAAATCAGAGTATTTAATATTTCTCTTTAAACATTGAAAAACATATTAAATTAACATTTAATAATTATACATATTTATAGTGCATGCACAGTGTGGTGTTTCAGTGCACATATACTATATGTGCTGACCTGCTTTAGAAATGTTGATCTTTGCTAGCTTTTCCACCTTCTTCTAAAAGAATCTTTTGCTCACAGCTCGCTCATACAGTCTATTCCCTGATCTGTGGTTCTGCCTACCTACCAAGGGACAGGATTGTAGCGGATTGGAATAAGATGGGCATCTAATGCCAGTGCAGATAGTCATAGGCTGTTCTGGGATATTCTGTGATCCCCATGAAAAGATAGCCTGAGCTGTTTGGACTCCTTAGAATTTGGTATTGGAAAATCCTGAGACTGAGCCAATGAACAGTGGGGCCAGAAATTGCGACCAACACGCAGGTGCCCAAGGTTTAGGAGGAGTGGCCACACTGTATTGTGTGCTAGCTAAAACTGAGGGAAGGGAATGGAACAACCAGAGGAGACAGGGCAATAGAGAGAAGGGAAAGGACAGAAGCCGCAACACTGATAGGGTGGGGGCTGAGTTTCATAGTGTTCTTCTTTTCAGACAGCGGTCAGTTGATCAGTGAGTGTCCTTTCAATTTTCTTTTTCTTAACTTAGGTAGATCCTAGTCCTTCCAAGCATATTATAAAGAACTTGAATACTAGAACAAGACACATGTGATTTGCTAGGTAGTGGATGAATATTAAATTTTTTTGAGCTGTGGCATATATATCATAAGCATATTAAGTGAAGATTCATCTAGTAGTAGTATGTAGGAGAGATTAAGAAACTGATTTGGGAAGTTATTACCATAAAATATGTGGGAGATAATTAAAGCATTGAACCAAGGGTATGTCAGAAGGAGGGTAAATGACTAAGTAGATG